GCCAGTCCTCCTCCTCCTCCTCCTCCTCCTCCTCCTCCTGGGAGTTGTCACAGCTGGCGCCACCTGCGCTGGCTGTCGGGAGACGCGCATTCTGTCGCCTTGCCACTGCGAACCCACATCTTCTGGGGCCTTCCGGTCTCGAGCACACAGATAGCGCACACGGTGATCTCTGTTTCGCTTGGCAGCATCTCTTTGGTGGCGCTGACAAATTCAGAAAGGCGTGATCTAATCGGGGCAGTGGCCGCATCGCTGGGTGGACGGCTCTGGCCCCGCTCGGTGTCAGTGAGGAGGCCTTCCCGGGTGAGTCGCTTTTCAGCATTTAATAGACTCAGAAGGGCGAGCAGTAGGCGTTTTCCGAATTTCCCCCCGAGCCCTGCAAATGCACGCGTGCCGGAGTAGCGCCCGCGCCCTGCCGCTGCGGGGGATGGCGGGGACCGAGGTCCGCTGCAGAACCGAGGATGGAACCACGCCGGCCGCCGCCCCCGCTGGGGTGAGTGCTGGGCTTGTGCAGGGGTGGACGCGTGTGATAATCCGGCGAATGGGTCACCTGGTCCCCGTAGGCTGCACCTGATACCTTTGCTCTTTTCTTTGGGTGCTTACCTGTGTCTCTGTCAGCAAATGGGTGTCTTTCCTCATCCCGGTGTGGAGGGCTTTGGCACCCTGTGGGTTACTTTGTGATTCTTGAAGCACGGGGTGGGGACCTGTTAGTTTGGGGGCAATGTTGCTTTTCAGCAGCTGAGGGCTGGGGGAGCCCAGGACGGTCAGCGGCGCCCGAAGTGCCCGTTACATGCGATTCACCTGCCGGGCACTGCGCTAGTGCTCAGTACGTGCTATTTTATCATGTTCTCGCAACATTATTTTAAAGTATCATTAGCCCCATTCTGTAGATTAGGAAACTTAAGACTTGCAAAGAGGACAGAAGTCAGGCTCAAATCATGCACAGCTGTGGATGGCAGAACCAGCGCCCAGAAGGTCCAGTTTCCAAACCAGAGCTCTCGACCGCCGTGCCACACCCGGTCTGCAGACGCTGGCCTCGCTCACACGCCCTCTGCTTTTGTCCTAGGAAAACGAACCGAAGGATGTCACCCTGGGAGAGCGTCGCCTGAGACCTCATCATGCCGGCCTTCCCGCAGCGGCCCGGCAGCATGACAAGGTACTGACACCACGAGTGGACCGTCCGGGGCCTGGGGGAGGGCAGAGGAGTCACCGAATTCCCCCACGGTCGGGGTGGCCCGCGCCCCTGGGCCCGGTCTCTTAAACCTTTCCAGGTTATCCCTGGTCTGCTGCGACTCCACTTAGAAGCCTCATAGGCGCCGTGTCCTACGACAAGGCCACGGTGGACCTGCTGGTGCCCGCACTGTCCCAGTGAACGGCGTGGCCACTGCCCGTGGCTCAAGCCGAGATGCTGGGCCTCCGGGACGCTGCCCCTTCCTCACCCTCATCCAAGTCCCTGCCTCACTGTGTTTTCTGTGGCTCATGGCAGAGTTCCTGACTGAGTAATCTACAAAGAAAAGGAATTTATTTCTTACGGTTCTGGAGGCTGAGCAGTCCCAGGTCGAGGGGCCGCATCTGGTGAGGGTCTTGCTGGTGGGGACTCTGCAGGGTCCCGGAGTGGCGCAGGGTGTCGCCCGGTGAGGGGCTGACTGTGCCCACGTGCCAGCTCGGCCGCTCTGCCTCTTCCCACGAAGCCACCCGGTCCCCTCCTGTGACAACCCATTAACCCATTAATCCACGGATGCAGAGGGCAGAGCCGTCGTGATCCAATCACCTCTTAGCGGCCCCACCTCTCACTGTGCCACGCTGGGGATTAAGTTTCCGACACAGGAAACGGGGGACAGACCCAACCCACAGCTACCCCAGCACCCAGCGTGCCTGGCTCGCTCCACCCCTGCCATTTCCCTTGTCCCGACCCGAGACTGTTTCCTAACTGGCCCGTCTGCCTCCCGTCCTCCTGTGGTCATTGTCCCCGCAGCAGCTGCAGGGATCTTGTGATGCTTCCAACACCTTCCATAAGTAAAACCGAAGCTCCTCCCGGCAGCTGCCATCCCACCCGACCTGGCTACCTGCCGGTCCACCTCTGATCCCCCGCGCTAGCCATTCTGACTTCCTCTCGTCCCTGAGACCCCAAGCTCATCCCGGCACTTGATGGTTTTCTCTGCATAGAACGTTCTAATCCCTCATCTCCAAACAGCCGGAAGCTTCCCACCTTTCCCGTCTCAGGTCAAGCGTCACCTGCTGGTGAGACCGTCCGTCTGGGCTGCCCACCCTAACGCCCTGCCCATCCTCCATCCTCTTTCTCTCTGTAGCCTTGGCCATTCTCCTGGCTTTGAATCTCTTGCAGCTGTCTCAGCCCCTCACGTGTCCTCACACACGCGTGCGTCCGTCTCCCCCACGGGAACGTGGGCGCCTGAGTGCAGGGGCCTCTGCTGTCCCTCCCGTCACGGCCTCTCCAGCACCCGTGCAGGACACCAGTGGGTGCCCAGGACTCCTCAGTCGAGTGACTGACTGGTGGTTTATTTTATTTTTATTTTTTATTTTTTTGAGACAGAGTCTCATTCTCTTGCCCGGGCTAGAGTGAGTGCCGTGGCGTCATCCTAGCTCACAGCAACCTCAAACTCCTGGGCTCAAGCAATCCTCCTGCCTCAGCCTCCCAGTAGCTGGGACTACAGGCATGCGCCACCATGCCCGGCTGATTTTTTCTATATATATATTTTTAGTTGTCCAGCTAATTTGTATTTTTAGTAGAGACGGGGTCTTGCTCTTACTCAGGCTGGTCTTGAACGCCTGACCTCGAGCAATCCTCCTGCCTCGGCCTCCCAGAGTGCTAGGATTACAGGCGTGAGCCACCACGACCGGCCCTGACCGGTGGTTTAGAGCTGCTGGTTTCATAGCTCTACTGATGCACATTTCAAGGAATAACTCAGTTCTAATAACTTAATATAAAAAGTATTGGTTTTCTGATTTGACATTTATTTTCCTGTCTTCCTGTTTTGCCATTTTTTCCAAAAAAGGTGTGTTTCTTCAGAAAAGTACAAGTGTTGATGAGGATGTGGAGAAACTAGAACCCTGTGCATTGTTCTTGGGGACATAAAATTGTGCAACCACTAAGGAAAACAGTATGGAAGTCCCTCAAAAAATTAAAAATAGAATTACATAGGATCCAGCTATCTATGTTCTAGGTTCGTATGCAGAAGAATTGAAAGCAGGGTTTCAAAGAGACATAATTTAATATCCTCATCAACACTTGTAATTTTCTTAAAAAAGAACACACCTTTTTTGGAAAAAAATGGCAAAACAGGAAGACAGAAACGCAAGTGTCAAATAAGAAACCAATAATTTTTATATTAAACCATTAGAACTCAGATATACATCTCTCTCCGTGTTACACATTCACAGTAGCCGAAAGGCAGAAGCAGCCCCACGTCCACAGATGGGTGATGGGCAGACACAGTGTGGTCCGTCCACGCAACAGAGCATTGTTCAGCCTTAACAAGGAAGGAAATTCTCACACGTGCCACAAATGTGGATGAAACTTGGGGACATTATGCTAAGTAAGGACACCAGTCAGCAGAGGACCCATACTGTAGGGTTCCACCTGCGAGGTCCCTAGCGTTGTCAGGTTCGTGGGGACAGAGAGGAGAAGGGGGGTGCAGGGGCTGGGGGGGGCCGGGAAGTCCGCGTTTGACGGGGACACAGTGTCAGTTTGGGAAGGTGAAGAGTTCTGGAGACGCCTGGTAGAGATGGCTGCAGAACAACGTCATTACACTTCGTGCCACTGAGCTGTACACTCAAAAGTGGTTACCATGGTAAATTTTATGTTATGTGTCTCGCACCACAATGTTTTAAAAAACTGGTGTGTTTTCAATACATGCTGACTCCCGGGTTGGTGCCCTGCCCCCGCACTCCCGCCGACCCCACTTTGCGCAGCTGCTGTCCCCGGAGGCTCCGATAAACTTGCTCACGCTGAGCTCCCAGTGCATGATCAGGCTTAGTGACTTCCTCAGCCCAGAGGGTTTTTCTTTAAACAGAAGCAGAAAATGCACAACGGTGGTGGAGCTTCAGGCCTCAGACCTGGGCTGTCGCGGGGCTGGCTGAGGAGGTGGCATCCCAGTGGCTTCCTCCCCTCTGCCCGGCCCCTGCACGTGCTCAAGCTGCTGCGCTGGACTCTGGCCCGGAGAGGTGAGGACGGGCCGGCCAGGCCCTGCAGGCGTGGGGCCCAGGCGGTGGGGTGGCGGCTCTCAGCCCTTGGGGCTCCGTCCCCTTTCCTGGCCGTCTCCTGCTGCTTGACGTCCCTGCTGCAGTAGAATTCACACGGAACCCAGCGGTATTTTTCCCTTGAGGTTTGAGATTCCTTCCCCTGCTCCCTTTTCAGCCAGGCCTTGGAAACAAGGCTGCGAGGCCCAGAGAAGGAACTCGCCTCCCCTCTGCTCTGCAGGGGCACCTGAGGGAGCGAGCGGGCGCAGACGGGGATAGCAGCGCTTGCTTTAGGAGGGGTGGCGAGGCCGCCCAGATCTGCCCGGCTGCTCCAGTCTTCCTCCAGAGCGCGTGGGCCGTCTGTCCGCGAGAGCCCGGGACACTGCCCTTTGGGCCAGCGTCTCTGCCTTTGTGTCCCAGGGCAGCTGGGGGCTGAGGGGCGGGGCTCGCTGGGGCTGGTGACAGATCCACGTTGGGGGCTCGTCAGCAGGTGCCTGCCGTGACTCAGGGGACCCTCCTGGTTCCTGGGAGGACGTTTGGGGATCACCGATTCCCCCATCTGATTCCTGGATTTGCATCTGATTAAGAGGGTGAAATTATCTATCAGAGCCCTTAAGGACGGGTGGCAGGGGACCCCATTGTCAGCTTCCTAGGTGTGAAGGGTGGCACCGGGCTGTCTGGTTTCGCACTGAAGTCCCCAGGCAGGCAGCCTTGGGCAGGACACCGGGGAGCTGAGGACCCAGGACACGGGGCAAAGAACACATCCCATGCCTTTGAAGCCTGCAAACCCAGATTTTTTACTGATTTAAAAAAAAAAATTCAAATTTCTTATTCCCTTGGGGAGGAAGGGGCCTATTAAGCTCCGCCTCCCCCAGCCGGGCCGCTGTTCCCGCAGCAGGTCTGAGGGTCGGGGTTTTCGTCACATTGAGTCGCTGCTGCCAAAGGTTTTAGCTTCTCCTCTACCTGGTGCCACGGCTGCTGCCACAGAAATCTGCATTTTGGAACAGAAACGAGTGGTGCGCGGGTCTGTGCCCCGGGTCATCCGCGTGTCCGTGCGCAGCGGCGGGTCTCGGGGAAGCACTCGGACCTGTTAGCGCCTGGGTTCCGGGAGCAGGTGCTGTGGAGGTGGTTAAGTTCATGACCTGTGAACCCACGACCTATGAACCGCTCTTACCTGCTGGCCGGAAATCCAGGGTTGGCGGGAGACTGCAGACACACGCAGGGATGACGGTCTTGCAACCATGGCAACGTCCCCCTTCTCTTTCTCTTTAAATGAGAAAACGAAAGTTTACAGGGATGACACCCACAGACGTTTGGGATTTTGCGGCTAAGTTTTTGGCTGACAGGTGAGTGCTCAGCCCACGGTTGCACCTGAATATCATTATCTGTTTTGCCTTAGTCGCAAAAAAAAAAAACCGTTTAACAGTGAATTGTTCTTTGCTTTCCTTTTAATCAGAACAAAGCGGTAATTGTCTGGGCTCCCGACTTTGCACGTCTGGGAAGTTTTTGGTTTTGGGGTGTAAGCCTTTTCGAAAATCTCTTCAAGTCCTTTATGTTATTCCTTTAGTGGGAGAACAGCCTGGCTCAGTTCCTGGGAGAACATTCTAGTGCGAGTGCAGAGTGACGGGGATGTGGGCCTGGCTAAAGGGAGGGTTCTCTGGGCATGAAAGGGACTGACTCTGAGCCAGACACGTGGCCGCAGCCGGGGCACCGGGGCGCCTGTCAGCCGACGGCCTCTGCACCAGGCCCCTGGCGTGCGCCGGGCTGCAACGGCCGACGGGGCAGAGAAGAGACTGCACCGGGCACTGTCGTGGGCCATTGGCCCCTGAGATGCCAGCATTCAGGTGGCCCGTCCGAGCCAATATTAGAGCGTTTTTAACTGAGAGGCATCCTCTACCCAGGCAGGGTCAGCTGCTACCGAGTTAGAGCCGCTTTCCCTGGGTGTCTCAGCTGGGATCACTTCCTCTGCATGCAACAGAGACTGGAGCTCAAGACGTTCAGCGGCGGGCGCCTGGGGCAGAGGCAGCTACTTAGAGAAGGAACAGGGACCCAGTGCCTGTCCACCTCGGTTATACGTGGGTGGTGGCGTCTGTGACACCATGTCGGGGGTGTCCTATCTGTAAGGATCTCCTACTGCGGCTGGAAGAGGCAGAGCCAAAGCTCTCTTATGATGCTTTATATTCATGAAGGGGCTTCACCCCCCAGAGATTTCTGCTCGGTTGTCACTGGGGAACTGTGCCACACGGGGTCTCAGTCTGGGTCTCCACAGGAGAGACACTCCAGAGAAGCCACTGAGGAGGAGAATGTAAACACCCGCACGGGACAGTGACAAATGCCCGTGGAAAAGAAAGCATGGCAAAGCAAGGAGAGGGGTGGTGGTGGGTGGGATGTGCCAGGCGATGGAAACAGCAGGTGCAAAAGCCCTGGGGTAGGAATGAGCTTGGCTTGCCTAAGGGACAGGAAGGGGGCTGGAGTGTCCCCAGCATGGCGAATGGTCGCAAGAGGGGAGCAGGTGCATGGGACCAGATCCTGCAGGGCCTTGGAGACCACTGAGGGGTGTGGATTTTATTTTCATTTCCACGGAGACCACAGGTTTCAAGCAGGGAGAGACTGGATTAGGGACATCCAAACATTACCCCCAAGTCTAACTTTCTTGAATAGCTGGAACATGAGAAGTGAAGGCTCGCAGCAAGGCTGCACCCCGGGTGCTCAGGTTCAGAAGTGAAGACTGTCTAATTAAAATAAGTCGTGACATTTCCACCGGGAGCGCTGGGATGTTTTTCCAAGTTCGTTGCCTGATGCATCGCGTTGCAGCAGAATGGCATTCAGATACTTCTTCGAATCAGACCTCGCTCTGACCTCGTAATAACAGCTTTCCCGGGGCTCTGCTCCCACTTAGGAAGGCCAGGTGGGTGCCTTCCTTTCTTTCGGTGCCGCAGAAGTCGTCAGGTTAAACTAACACTCAGTACATAAAGTATTTGAAATAGAAAGGTTTTCTGCGGCTGAAAAACGTGACTTTATGATAGTCTGTTATTGAAGCCATAATTCGTGTCATAACAGTGGGGGCGGAGAAACAGAAGTTACAAGTCTGTTGTTGGGTTCAAATGTGCTGCTTCCAGAATCAACAGGACAGAAACCACGGTAACCTCTCGTCACTGCATGGCCTCACCTGTTTCTCAAAAGCCGTAGGAGAGACTGAGAAGACTGTGCCTCCCCCGGGGATGTGTCCTGAGACCGGAACCAACACAGTTTCTGAGTTTATTGGGGAATCCACGCTAATCCGTGTGGAGTTCTGTTGCCATTCTTACCCACTTTTAAGAAAAGGGGGAAAGTTTTATGCAGAACAATGAGTATACCCAGACAATTTGGGTAACACTTTTGTATCTGTCAGGACTCTCATAGTCACAAAGGACAGGCAACAATTCAAACTGGTGTAAGCAAACAAAGAGAATCTATTGGCTCAAGTATCTGGAAAGGAAACTACAGCCTCAGGCACAGCTTGATCTAGGTGCCTAAAAGATGCCCTCAGGACCCTGCTTTTCCCACTGCGTCTCTTGGCTCTGTGTCCATCTCATGGGTTCTGTCCTCATGATGGCAAGTGGCATGGCAGCTCCAGCCTTTTGTCCTCACCTTTCCAAGTTCAATGGGCAAAGCAGAGGATCTTCCCGGCTCCTACGCAAGTCTTACATCTCATTCTCCAAGGAAGCAATGGGGTCACATGATCTCCCCAACCAATCACATACCCAGGGCATGGGCTTGCACTGATTGGCCAGGCCTGGGGCACACGCCCAGTCCTGAGCCAATCTCTGAGGCTGCGGTGGAGGTGGGTGGGATGTGGAGGGAGGTCGTGTGCTGATTGGCCAGCCCTCATTCAGGTGTGGTCCCCCAGCAGGAGTGCACCTGCCTGGAGGTCCAAGATGGAGGATGAGGGCGGGGAGGAGCCGTGGAAGGAGGTGGAAGGTCTGGGTCCCGAGAGGAGGCGATGGCTCCGCTCCCCAGGTGTGCGGTAACCTTGTCGCCCCCCGTTCCACCTGCAGGTGAAGGCGGAGCATGCCCGGCTCAGCCCCGCGCTCACCGCGGTCACCCGAGAACGCGATTTGGCCGTGAGGGAGAAGCACCCGCTCCGAGCCAAGCTGGAGAACCTAGAACAGGTCCTGAAGGTAGGACGCGGCCTCCGCCCCGGCGGGGGAGGCAGTGGGGGGCTCTTTCTGGAACTGTCATGAAGATTCAGGGCTGTGGGGGCTGTTTTTACCCTTCTTATGGCACAAAAAGCAATAAATAACAAAATTGGAGTGTTTCTGGAAGCAGCCCCGTAAAACCAATCACGCGTTTCCATTTCTCTGATGTTAAACAGCTGAGCGGCGGGGTGCAATGGGGATGCAGCTCGCTGGCGTTGAGACCAGAGGTGGCCGCGTCGTGTTTCCGACTTTGTGCATTTTAAGCCGGTCCCCAGATGTTTAATGACCTTTGTTCTAGAGAGAGTAGCGCAATCAGAAAAGCGCTTTATCGGGGTGCAGGGAGCTGGACGCTCCTCGTGCGTTTCTGATGAGCCGGGATCTCCTTCCAAGTTTAACGGGTGGGTTGATTTGCTACGGATGTCGCTGAGTTAAGCTGAATGAATTCTTTAGCCTTTTTTTTTTTACTTTTGAGTGTTAAAATTTTATTGAATTCTCATAGTGGGAATTTTTTCTTAAAAAAGTAAAAGAATCACTGCTAGTCCTGCTACCCAGGACATGCATTACTCGGATTGTTTGCATTTCACAAGTGCACAAACGCGATTGTGCTGCACTCGCCGAAACTCTCTAAATCAGTGAGCGATTTTACTTCCAGCTGTAGCTCGTTTGGGGGGACGGTTGCTGCTCTACGGGTCCACAGCTGAGTGGCGGCCGGTGATGGGAGGGGCCGCGAACGCTAATGGGTCTGAGGTTTCCTTCTGGGATTAAGTAGCAATGATGCTTGCAGAATTTCGCGAATATCCCCAAACCTCTGAATTTACACTTTAACATGGTGGCGTTTATGGCACGCGAATGACATCTCAGTTAAAAATAAAGAGCCAGGCTGACGGCACTCTAGCCAGGGCAACAGAGCCAGACTCTGTCTCAAAAATAAAAAAATAAAGATGCCCTGTTCTTCTCGCTGCCGACCTCGAACGTGAGCCCAGCTGGTCGTGTGGCTCTCAGCGGAGGAGCAGAGCTGTGGTCAGCGCCGGAAGGCGTGGCGTGGCGTGGCGTGGCGTGCCACTCACGGTGGGGACGGCTGACCACACGGCTTTTCACCACTTGCTCTAAGTTTAGGGTGTAACCCTAAAGCAAGGAGGTGCTACCGCAGAATTACTGAAGCAACTGCCTTGACTACTGGCGGCGTTTTCTGAGCGCACAAAACATGATTTATTCAACCCTCTGCCCCTAGCGGCCGGGACGGGTGTTTGGCGTCTGAGTTTCGTGGCAGGTGGGCCGTGAGTGCAGGGATCTCAGGAGCATAACTGAATATCTGTGGGATTCAAGTAGCCAGGAAGGGTAGTCTAGGCCAGCGGCTCTCAGTGGGGGCACTTTGCTCCCCAGGGGACATTTGGCAGTGTCCGGGGACATTGTTGACTGGGATGACTAGGGAAGGGGAGGCCAGGGGAGCTGTAAAGCCCCCGACAGCAGAGAATGATCGGGCCCCAGTGGCAGTACTGAGGTTGAGAAACCGTGTTCATTTGTTTCCTGTTGCTGCCGGAACAAGTTACCCTGCAGGGCCTTATGGCTTAAAACTCCACCGAGGTGCTGTCTTACGGTGGTGCTGGAGGTCACAGGGCAAAACGAGCCTTCTGGGGGGTAAACCACGGTGTGGCAGGGCTGCGTTTCTTCCCTAAGGCTTTGGGGGAGTCTGTTCGCGACCCGCGGTCCCCTTCAGGGCCAGCTGCGTAGCATCTTCTCTGCTCCTGGTGATGACACTGGGCCCACCTGGGGGGTCCGGGATCCTCTGCCATCTCAGGGTCCTTAGTCGCCTGCAAAGTCCCTCTTGCCAGGTGAGCTAACTTATCCCCAGGTCATTATTCAGTGGCCACGCCCCGGAGTACCTTAGGGAGCTGACCACACACACACTATCCGTGGCAGAGGGGGTCCCATCGCTAACTCCAGAGGTGTGAGATTCCTGTCTCTCCCGCCTGGCCTGCAGCGGCTGCCCTTCCTGCGTGACCTTGGCTTTGAGCCTCACCGTTAGGGCCTCGCACCCGGGCTCTGTCCTCCCGCCCTGCAAAGTGTGCTCTCTGTGGCCGTCCTCCCACCCAGGCTGTTCACACGGGGGGCGTTGCCTGCCCTTGGGAGGACAGACGGAGAGGAGGCCCGTGCAGGGTGGGGGTTGAACTTGGGACTCCCGGCAACGCCGTGACGACATGTAGGGAATGCCGTCCAATAGGGAAGCTCAGCAGAGACTCGGGGCCCCAGGGTTTCACTGGGGGCTGGTCACGTGGGCACCTGTGCCTGGCTCCCGGCGGGAGAGCAGGTGCTCGGTGTAAACCACGCGGTTTGCGCAGACAGTCTGGGCACCCTGAGCCCCTCTCGTCCACTAGGGGATGGTGGGAACCCTCCCAAGCCTAAGTTCCCACGGGGAACCAGCCAGGGGCTGGCCTTGCAAAGAAGAGCAGCCTCTGGCCTGCCGAGTGAACTGGGGTCTGCACCCCTAGCCGGGTCCCAGGGCTGCACCTGGGCTGCGCCAGCACCTGGGTGGGCGGCCCGGCTCTGTTCAAAGTGAGTGCAAAGACCCTGGTAAGCGAATGCTGTGTCAGTGGAAAAAAGACCAAATTCTGTAAAATAATTTTAGAGAGATTTACTTTGAGCCACGCCCAAGAGGCCTTGAGCAGTGGACTCGCAGAGGTTGGGTCACAGTTTGGTTTTATACATTTCAGGGGTTACAGGTAAAGTCATAAATCAATACGTGGGAGGCTATGTTGGTTTGGCCCGAAAAGGTGGGCCATCTCGAAGGGGGGGCTTACAGGTTATAGGTGGGTTGAAAGATTCTTTGGTCTGTAATTGGTTAAAGACATGAAGCTTTGTCTAATTGCTTGGAATGTTTTAACATAGGAGCTGTTTATCAGAGATGAGCCACCTCACATAGACTTCTTGTGTAAATTGAGGACCTGCAGGTTTGTCTTGCAAACCCTTAGGCCTGTTAATGGGTTACAAAGGATGTCCCCAAGAAGGGAGGGGGGCATGATAAGGCATGTCTGACCTCCTTCCTCCTGGCAGG